CTCTGACAGTAGTGCCCTGAAGTACTCTGTTCAAATGCTGACCAATTTGAAATCTGGCCTGAATTCATCAAGGCTCTTAGTTGATCAGAAGAGGACAAGTTTACTGTATTAATTGCTTTCAGTTGATTGAATGCTTTTTACACAGTGTTACAAGCTCGCAAGTCTGGCTCTTTTTCCCCTTGGTGTAGCTTTCCTTTCATATCCAAAATTATACTTCAGAAATGTAGAAAGGCGTGTTTTGATCAAATGTTTAAACCTCACATTTAAGCCTTAAGAGTATTTTATAGGTTTAACAATGATTGTAAATAAAATAATTGTAAATAAAAGCTGTAGCTGTCCATAAGTCAGAGTTGTGATGGTGCAGGTACGTGGACAGTGAAGAGGGACTCTGGCATAGCTTGGAGCAGGAGGTGGTATAGCTGGTCATCAGCCAGGGGCTGTGGTTAGGAGGATGGAGGTGAGGCCAAAGCAGTGGGGCCACAAGCCTGGCCCGACTGTACCTGAGAGCTGCTCCTGATGTCTTTTCCACAGATGTCCAGCTTTGTCAAAAACCAGTAAATCTTGTGAAGTTTATTTTCCTTGTAGCATCTGTGTTTTATAATGGTGCTTTTAATTTGTTTTTTCTTTGTCTGCTGGGATTTCTTTTGTCCGGCGCTTTCAGGCCTCCCTTTTTTTCTCAGTGGAAGTGAGTCTGTTAATGATGGCTGGCTTGGGAATACACCCCAGCCAGGCAGACCCTGCAGCCTCTCCCTCTGTCTGACAACAAAGCCCATTGTTGTTTTCTTTCTTCACTTTTATCCTCAACTTAATCCATTTTTCCTTGGACTGTATGTGGAATAAAATGCCTGGAGAAGCATGGCTCAGATTTTGGGTGGGTGATATGATGGCGGTTTCATTGTAAACTTTAATCAAACAGGTACAAAGGCAGAACTAACTGATCACATTTTCTATGTTTCAGTATGCAACATTTATTCCAGTATAATGCTGCACTTGTAAATAAACTTCTGCTGTCAGACCCCCAAAACCATGACATCCTCAGCTTTTTCAAGTCAAGTCCCTTAGTAAAATTAATTAGAGATTTGCCAGCAGCTTAAGTTGAGACATAGGACATTTTTTCTTTCATTTTTCTCCAGTGGGACTCTAAAAGGCTGAATGAGGATTATCTGAAGGAGGTTTTTGACTTGGCTTTAGTTGTGATCAAGAATTTGGATCCTGAGTCTGTAATATTTGAGTGAAGATAATGGAAGCACTCCCTTTTGTGAGCATCCTTAGCTGTGGCCCAAGCTGGATAGGCAGTGCAGGCAAATGGGATTTTCGCTGATGCACACAAGGAAAACAAAACTCAGCCTGGTGAGGCTTTAATGTATTCTGTGCACAGCTCTTGAACTGTCACCTGAAAATCTCTTTCATGGCAGCCTGTGGAAAGACAAATACTTGACCAAAAGCACTTGCCTTGCCTGAGGTCCTGAGGGCTGTTAAACTCGTGCTCTGGGTGCATACCAGACTGACTCATCGTTCGGAATGCTCTGCTGGAAGTGTTCAGGCTGGTTCTTGTGAGGGCATGTTTACCATGAAATTGTGATGGTGACATTTAATTTTCTCTTAGTTGTAATAGAAAGTATTCCCTGAATAGTCAGTAGGATGTGATCTGTGTGCCAGTGTGCAACCAAGTTAGCATTTAAAGTTAAATTATCACTAAGTGAAGCTACTCTATTGAAGCTGTAATTCCAGGCGTTATTCTTTATTAATATCTGTATTTCCTTGCAAGAATGAATATATGCCATCCACATGTAGCAAGGTAACTTTAGTACAGGATTCTGCTAGTGGACTTAAACTTTGGCTTATTTGTTGCTTAAGCTTTGACAGTGAATCAACAACTGCTTGAGCTGTAGAAATAATGTTGATGCTTGACTGCATTCTTTGTGCTCTTTTGGCCTGTTACAGCAGTCCTGGGCACACGCAACTCCCATTTACTTGCAGAAAGAGTTCCCTGCTTCAAAGGGCTGGAGGAATTGAGAGTGACTGTTGAATTTCTGGATGGGTACAACAGGGCACCAGAAACTTAAGGGGGTTTAAAATGACTTATTAAACATAATGTGTAGCATTATTTTGTCCCAGTAAATTGGGACAGAATGTAGCATACAGCTTTTGCTGAATGCTTATGAATGGAACAGCCCTGGTCATGGAGGGCATTTACTGGATCAACAAGTGTAACAAGGATGTACTTCTCTGATAGGTCTGAGGCAACATAAAATGAAGCTATAGCATTATAGATCATTTCCATCATCAAAATGGCTAAAAATAATTCAGTGTAAGTGGCAGCAGAATTTGTATTTCTTCTATTAAGCAAGATTCTAACTTTACTCAGCCACACTGTCTCAATGTTACTGTAGTCAGATTTTCAAGAAAAGCTTTACTGCCAGAAATAATTTGTCTCCTTTTTGTAGCATTTCAACTTTTAGTTTTTGACTAGATTACTTTGAATTATATTTATTTGCAGTTAAGCAGCTAAATGTTGCTGCAGAAAATACAGATTGCTTATATATTATGTATTTACAGCTTTTCCCTTTGTCATAGCTGAATTTTTGAATTATGGTTGTGCTCTCAGGTGCTGTGCATGCATGATGAGCTAGGTTTTTATTGATGTTTGTTTACATTGGATTAAGTATGCATTTAAGAAGGAAAGTCTTGACCTCTGAATGTTTGTTTTTTCTAAAGAATCATCATCTTAGGTTTTGGTCCCATTCAGCGTACTTTTTTTGCACATTTTCAGTTCTCTCTGTATAGATTAGTCATTTTTTTGTGTGTACTTTATGTTTTCTTGTGTGTGAGCCTAAACATTTGTAGGGTGTTGTTGCTGCAATTAATAAAAGCCTCCTAAACCATGATGACTTAATCCTGCAGTTTTCTGAACATCCTTAACTGCCTTGGGATTCCTCAGCTTGTATGAAGATAAAGCAGCCCATCCTTCTGTAGGAAGGAGATCTGTAAATGTCTCATTTCCCTGCATGCAAATATTCTATTGAATCATCTAAAGGTTTTGCATATGGAGAACCACATGATGTTGGGGGCAGAGGGCACTGAGTAATTAAATGTGCTTTGAGAAAGGGAGAGAGGGGACTGTTAGAACACAGTCATTTGGTTCAGTAGTTCATGGTTAATAATTATATTCCTAACAAGTAAAGGAAAACAAATTACAGCCATTTGGAGCCCCCTCTGTAGGTACTGTCCCTGTCTGCTGCATAGCCTCGTGGAGAATACAGGAGAGTGAAGCACTCTCGGAAAGGCCTTGATTGCATGCAACAGTAACTAATTAGAGAGTAATGCAGAAAACTATTCCTAGTCCTTTCACAAGAACTGAGAAAGCATTATGAAACTAACCTTAAAAAAATTAATTGCATCTCAGTTGTAAATTTAAATCTCAGCTGGGTTGTTGGTTCCCCCCCGCCCCCCCTCCCCTCCTTCCCCTCTTTCCTGTTTCTTTTTATTCAAAGTTGGTGCAGGAAAATTGCTATTAATGAAATCTGCTCTCAGACTTCAATAGGCTTGTTCTTCATTAAAGCCTTGCTATTTCTCTTAAAATGTATTGACCAGTGTTCGGGCCAGATACTTAGCACAAAATACACTTTGTAATTTCATCATTTTTATTATTATGTTTTCTGAGATGCAGGGGTCTTTGGACTTTGTAGAAAAAACAAATAAACCCCCTAAGCTTACAGTTATATAGTATTAAAAGAAGGGTAAAGGAAGCATTGAGTGTCTTTAGGATGATGAGACATTCATTAAGATTTTTCCGCCTTCCTTTTCCTATTTTCAATCCATCTGAAGTACCATTAAAGCCTTTCAGGCAGCTTCCTGTGAGAAACCCTTTTCTGTGCTGTTTTTCTTCCTTGAAAAAAGGTGGCTGCTCTTCAGTCAGATTGTATGGATTTGGCCTGGGATTTGTATAATATCTATGTAGAATGCGGCGGTTGTTTAGGAACCTAATTCCCAATATGGCTCCCTTTTGATTAAGAACAAAGCCAGCGTTTCACAGCATTATAGAAACACAGAAAAACAAGTTAATGATCTAAACCTTTTAATTCATAGTTGCTTGTCTATTTAAAGTACTTTTGATTCTGTTATAAACAGACTGGCCGCTTTTTTGTTTAACTTCTTTCTTTGTTTTTTTCACATTTCTTTCTTTACTGTCCATGAAATTTGTAGCTAGTTTCCTTTTCTAACTGAAGAATGAAAGGTTGTGACTACAGAATGATACAGAAAGTAAGAAAGCGTATCTAAACTGGGCGTATATCCAGCACAGACCTCTTTGAAACAAGCTAAATTTAGGGTGGTTGGGATTTTTTTTTGTTATGTTTTCCCCTTCCTTTTTAAAGTACCTATGATTTGTTTTCTTCTTCTTCTTTATTGAGTGAAGTTGGTTACTTTCTTGATACTTTCTTGTTTTTACGTGTAGTTTTGCATGATTATATTTTCTATAGTTACTTGTTATTTTCCTCTGGTCTTAGTTCAGCAGATTACTATTCTGTGTGCTTTTATCCGTAGAGACAACAAAAGCGACCTTTTCAGGACTTTCAATTACCAACACTGTATGTGGTACTTTAGGAAAATAATTCGCTTCCAGATACTCTTTTTTTCTAAAGAGAGAATTGGAATCCAGGGCTATTTCTTCGAATTAAACTTGAAAACTTTCTGGTGAACAAAACTGTCAGGCAAGCAGCAGCAGCACAAATAATTTCCCGTCCATGGAAGGGGACCTTATCCCCACATATAGAAAAATAACTATTTGCTGCTTCCATTGTGATTTATTTTTTACTTCAGGTGGGGATGGTTGTTAGATACATTTTTGCTTATAACAGGATCTCATTATTTTTGCTTTTTTTTTTTCTGTTTTTTAACTTTTATTTCTTTTGACAATGGCTTCTTTTAGGCAGTTATAGAAATGATAAATGAAGAAAAAGTTCCAATAACGTGTTTTGTTACGTCTCCATCCCATTAAGGTAAATTGAACAGCCAAGACACTTACAATAACTTCACAAACAATAATCCTGGGAACCCTCGACTCCTGCCTCTTCCAAGTTTGACTGTGGTGTTGCCTCTTGCTCAAATCAAACAGCCAATGACATTAGGGACCATCACCAAACGCACAGGGTAAGTGTATCTGCAGAAACCTTTCTTATTTGTTATTTATAATTTATAGGGGAATGTTATTTATAATTAATATGAAAATAATTTGTGTTACTAGTGATACATAGTTTTATTCCTTATTTTAATTGAAGTATAAGTAATTTAATGACAGAAGGGTTGGGGAGGGAAGAGGAGACAAGAAGGGAAAACCAGCATCAGATAAGTAAACAAAACCTGAAAACAAATCTCTGAAAAGTCAGGATATTCATTGGGGTGGGTCATTTTCTACCATATGGGAAATACTGGAGAATTCCTGACATCAGGAGAAGTTACACACCAGGAATTGGTATGAAACATAAGCAGAGCTGTATTCAGTCAGAGTAAGTTATAAGTTTTCTTCTTTTTTCTTTTTTTTTTTTTTCTCCTTAAAGTTTGTTTATTTTGATTTCCAAACTTTTCAAGCAGAAATGATTTTTGACTATCAGAACTGGAAAGACAGTAAACCAGGTTGAGCATAAAGGCAAAACTTAATCGGGCTGTTTTCTTGACCTTGTTTTTCCACTGAGGTGCCTGTTCTGTACTGTGAAATTCACATGTGGACTTTCATTTTTGAGCCAGCTGCACTTTGGTACTTTCCCCTGTGCCATGATAAGGCACTTGAAAATATTCATTTCGGAAAGCTCTACTAAATATCTGTATGTGATAATAACAGAAGATTTTGTGAGCTTCCTAAAGTGTCACAATTTTAAGTTAGTTGATACTGTTTAACAGTTGAAACTTTTCTTTTGCTAAATTCCAAATCTTTGGGTTTTGAAATTAATACAAAAAGCCAATGGGTGATGATTTCAATTATTTCAATTTTTTCCCTCTTTAAAAAAAAAATTAATTCCTGAATAGTTTCTACTTAAAAATTGAATCCATTCATATCCAGACGGCTTTTGTATTTTAAAAATACAAATAGCTCAAGTATGGCATGTGGCTGGGCAAAACAACTGAGAGTCCTGCAGGTTCGTAACATTTTCCTGTGTTTGCCAAATAGGTGCAGGCACTGTCTAGCTTCAGTGGTTTCTTGCTCAGACCCCGATAGGGAGGTGCATTTCACCTTGCGTCTTGTGAACCAGGAATTATTTTTCAGGCGAGAGCACACGGATATTCCCTCTCTCCCTGAGTAATTCCCATATTCTGTGCTTGAGTGTTCAGGACATTGTGTAAAATCTGGTATTGTTTTGTTTAGTGCACTGAGTATGCATGATGACCTTCTGAAGCTTCCATATGTGTGCACAAAATACATATGCGTATCTATATACATGTCTATCTAACAATACAGTCCCGCTCTCGCTGCCGTAAACAGGAATTTTATTAGGCTTGTTGAGCCAAATTGTGACCCACAAACATGTGATTGCCCTAAGCACAGAGGATGGATGCAGATAAGTTCTTGAACTTCATAGATAATTGTAAATGGAACTTAGGAAACGGTAAAGAAGCAGTATGGGGATAATGTGGCTTAACTTCTTCCACACATACATTTCAGTTGATTACTTTTGCTCTTTTTTTTTTTTCCCTGCTTACAATTTAAATGCAGACGAGAGCAAAAGATTACGCTAGCAATCGGGTGAATTCTGAAGGTATAGAAAGGTGGGGTCTTGGGTGGGGACAGGAAGGGAGGTGGGGTCAAAGAGATGTTGGTGTGCATGGAGATAAGCCGGAAGTTACAGTTCCTCAAAGAGGGAAAGTATCAAAAAGCTGACTTGAAGAGTACAGTCAGAGAAGGGTGAAAATGTAACTCTGGGCTCTGTTGGTAGACTTCTAGAAAGGGAATAGACATTTAGAACTAGGTGGGGTAAGATACAGAGGGAAAACAAAAAGCGGTCTGAGGGTCTGCCAGGGCAAAGGTCTGGTCATAGAAGCAACAGTGAGCATAATGATTTGAAAAAAAGCACTTGGCTTCCAATAGTACATCATGCAGTGGCCTTGGCAAGGGCTGTTTCCTTAGTGCTGTGGTGATACCAGGAGGCTTTTCTACAACTGTTACAAATATGTTAAGTCTTCATTATTTTATTTAATGTTTTGTTCTTTAACATATTCCGAAATGTACATATTCATCGTTTTCTTTAAGTAAATTTTATTATTCACAAGCTATCCCTGTGCTAATATTTTGTGCAATTTTTAAAATGAATTAAATTTAAACTGCTCAGTGCAGCTTATGTAAGGGGTGGGGGGAAACAGCAGTCATGGGAAATGCCCTGCTGTGTAAATAGAGTTTTCATGAATGAGGATCGTGATTTTCAGTGAAGCCTGTGTGGATGTGTAATGCTAAGCTGAGAGCTTCCTTCATTTGTTCTGCATCCAAGATGTTTGATGAAAGTACACAAAATTAACATGAAAAGCTGTATTTATAAAGCAGGGATTTAAGAGGAATGCCTAGGATCCAAGAAGCCTGGCATGCCTAAAATGACCAAATTGAGACAGCAGCCTTAACTTAAACCTCCAGGGGGCAAAGCGTGTGTTTAACATATTTAACATCTGCCCTCATATTTCTAGAAACACATAGCAATGTAAGTCTGTACAGTGTAATATTTAGACAGGACAGGGACCATCTGCCTCACTCTGAGAAGTGTAGGAGGCATGTATTACTGCAAATGGCAAAAGACAGATGTATTTACACCTACATGGTCAGCACCTTTAAGCACTGCTCCGAGGAAACAAGGCTCTTCCTTGGAAGCAGCTGCTTAACCTTGTGATTGTTCAGTGATCAGAAAAAGGAGATGAACTTGTGATCTCTTGGATTTTAGAGTCACTGTTCAGTGGCTCTCAAAGCAGGTTCCTTTTCTGTCACTGCTACTTTTAAAGAATTAAAAATTTAATTTGTTGCAGTATATTTCTAAAAGTAAGCAAGACTAAAAGGATACCACAGATTTATCAGTTCTTGATTTTTCCCTTTTATTTGCTTTTAACATGTGAAAAACTTCTTTAATACTAAATATCTTAATTATTTTTTGCAGTTTTTATTAATCAGAAACTCAAGTTGGTTTTTATTCTACTAGTATCCAAGACAGCAAAATATTTTTCAGGTACTGAAGGGACTGATCAGGGCTCTTACTATCTGTCTCAAGCAGAGCTGCAGAGAATGTCATTTTACTTGACAGGTGGAATGGCAGTAAATTTTTTAGAAGTGTTCACTGTAGCCCTATGGGAATGCAGGGCCAGAGTCTGGGGTTGGGTCATTACAGTGCTGCTCAGCACAGATGCTTTCTTTTTTCCCCTTTTTCATTCAAACTTGTAGATTTTGGAACATTTTCTGATCAGTCATTAAACTCTCTTATTCTGAATACAATTTCCATTCTCAGCACTGAGTATCCCAGGGTATTACTGCCCTTCTTGCCACCACTATCATTTTCTTCCTCCCTGCCCTCTGTTTCTTCCCTTGTTTTTTCAGGTCTCTCGTCGTAATTTCTGCACCTTCACAAAGCACTTAATTTTTGTCCCTATATTTTGTCATACCATTGACTTACTTTCCTGTAATTTGTGCTGTCAACACATTCTGAGGAGCAGACAGGCTTTCCCAAAGGGACTCTAACACTAATGAGTAAGGAAGCATCTTATGTTTTAAAGATGAGGAGGACTTAAGGCAGTAGGAGAGCCAGATTTAATAAGTCCTTATATATCCATGCCTCAGTTTCCCTCAGAAAAGTTTACTGTTAATGCTGAATTCCTTCTCAAGTCTGGTGAATGGGTTACTTCATTGCTCATTTACAAAGAGCTTATAGATTTGAAAGGGGAAGAGCTGTATGATCCATCTCATGCTTGTCTATAAAAGGCAGTGAATCAGAGTATGTTAGAAGACATCTTTGTGCTTTGCAGTAGCTATATAAGCTTTCCTTGTGTTTGTGGAATGAGTTTTAGTTCGTTTCCAGTTTGTAAGAATGTGGAGGCACAGATGCACTGTAGTGCAGTAAGAAGGAGGAAAATAAAAGATACAACAATTCTCCCAGAAGAAAAACTATTGTAAAAGTTGGTTTCTCTGACAGCAGCATTTGTTTTAACTTTCTCAAGGGATATAGTCATTATATTTGTATCATACTTCATTCCCAAATTCATTATAGCTTTGGTGAAACACCAGGATGTAACCTGCATTACTTGGGTCTTGTCAAAACAGACATCCAACATACCTTCCAGGAAAAGGAATAAGCCTTACTTTTTTTCCATCCAGAAGATTTAGATAGTGTGTTTTTAAGCATGAAACTCTACCCGTTCTTCATCCCATCCTTCATCCCACCCCCAGTAAGGAAGGGAAAGGGTAGGTAAAGTGTCTGATGCAATTTTATCATTCTAATGTTTCTCATTGCTTACAAGTACTGAAAATCAGTGACATCCCTTTGTTTTGTTTTGACTCAGCTTAATTTATCCCAGGTTCTATTACTGAAGCAAACAAAAATAAGGAGTGCAAAGTCATGATGTCATAATATAATTAAGTAGGAAAAAGTAACTGAAAATGTCAAGAAAAAAACCCAAAAGTCAAGCTAAAGAATCCAGTGCAGTAGGTCAGTTTTCCTGCATGCTGAAGTCATTCTCTTTCTGGCACATTTCTCAGGGGTGTCTTATGTCACCTTAGGTTATATAATACATTTTGGTAATAAAGCAACTACTGTAGTGATTTGTATTTGATATGAAATACAGTGGTTTGCACTAGTTTTTGTTCACATGTCACTGTGAGCGGATTCTTGCTATGGCAACATATAGCAATGAGGGTTACAGTAGATGGGTATTGCACAGCTAATTAAAAGCTTAAATAGTTTTTATTAAACACGGTAACACAAAATCAAAGTATGTGTCAATGTTTAATTGGCTAAAACTCAGAATCAGATAAGAAATGAAGTTAATTCTGTTGGAATTTTGAATTGTAAATCTTCATCATTCCATAATTTTCCTTTGGAATTTCTCAATAGCTGTGAGAATGGGGAACCTCAGCGACTTTTTTGCCTTGGCATTGCTCTGTTCCTGCCACTGAGCGCAGCCATCTGGTGCTGTCTTTTCAAGGTTGGGTTCTCCTGTGATTTGTGAATTCTCTTTCTCTCCGTTAGCACACCATTCATATTATGTGAAGGAAATAGTGAAAAAGAATTACTTAGATAAATATCGGGGGGGGAATAGCCACCATAAAAGAAACTAGGTCTTTTGAACAGAAAGGAAATGCTAAGTTGTCTTTCTCACACTTAAGACTTTTATTAAGACTGCTGTAGTCTTTGAGAGTGTAATTATATTTTCTTTATGATACGAGAGTTTGTATCCATTTTAGAAGCAAGCAAACAAAACCTTCCATTGAAACACCGGGGTCAATTTGTAGTTAAAATAGCGAATTTGTTAATTTGCAAGTATAATCAAGTCAACATACTATGCTCTTGACCAATATACTATGCTTGGGAGGGGGGGAAGCCTATGTTATCTTCTGAAATGTTCTGATGAGCTCAGCTACATGTCTTTTGCCTGTTTTTGCAGATAGAAAAACTACTTCAGAGAGGAAAAAATCTTGCCAAAACATCCAGGATCATAATTTAAAAATTCTAAGCTCTCAGTCAGATTCAAACACTATCCAGTGACTCTTCAAATCTATACTAGATACATTCTAGGTTTTAAGTTATATTTGCTATGAGTTGTGAAGAAAACAGCTTTACATTTAAACAGTGTAATAGTGCTGGGCTCATCTTAGCCATTCGAATGGTCTTTGACTTGGACACTGACTGTGTTGACTCTATAGGAGATCATACAATGTATACAGTTCATACAGTTTAATTGGGTTTTATCACTGTTCAAAGATTCTATATTATGTGTAGAGAGGCAGCTGGTTCTACCAAATGGGCTCTGTCCCACAAAGTATTAACCAAACATTTATTTAAATATGAACAGTTAAAGGCTAATCCATGACACAGAGTTCAAAAGATCTTCAGTATGGCTTTGGCCTACATTACTAATGAAAAAAATAGGATTTTTTTTCTGTAATGTTCTGTTCTTTATTAGATTTTTAGATCTTTGCATGTCGAAGAATATATGTCTTGGTTTGTACCTTCGCCTAAATGTTTTTTTTAAGAGGATGCCTCCATTCATTGATGTGCTTGTGCCAAATTTTTTTCACAGAATTCCTTTTTATCAGGCTGGTATCCTTTTACCTGTGCAAGCATATGGCTGAGTGCTTTATACATCTTTCTGTGATAGATATTTTCTGTTAGTTCATTACCTGAAAATACTTCACTTGTTTCAACTAGCCAGAATTTATCACTGAGTCAGAGTATATTAAAAAAAAAAAAAGACAGGCATTGATAAAATCAGTTATTCAGCAATTTTGTGGATGAAGGTGTATCCCAAATGAGACTCACAGAAGCCTTGAGCATGTGAGTAGCTCTAAATTTACCTCCCGTTCCTCCTTTTCAGACTTTATGAAAAGGTCAGTATGGTGATGGCTTTTTGAAAGGTGATGCAAAGAACAAGGAGATAGCCATTTAAAATGCACTGAAATTAATGGGGTGTGGTACCACTGTAAAAGCTATCCACAGTACAAAATACTTGAACAGAAATCAAATCATGCTGAAGATAAATTGTTGAATGACCAAAAGCATTAAGCTCTACATCTGGTGATTTTTAACAGCAAAGATACTTGAAGTAAGATAGGGTTCTCTTCCCTGCATTCCATGCAAACTTTTAAGTGGGGGAATAGTATTGCTATGTCATACAGTTGCTAAAGATTTTTACTTTAATGGTGTGTTTAGGGAAAGGGCTGAGTAATTTTCTCTAATAAATTGTGTTTGTACCTGTGTTTTTTACTTAGGACTTGCCTATTTTCAGTATATTTGTAAAACTGTCCCACTCAGACCTTTAGTGTGTCATGGAAAACAGCCTCGTACTTGTTGCTTTCAATGCTAATTTCCGTCTGCTAGTTCTGACTTTAATGTTGGTTTAAGGCTCTTGATTCCTTTTGCCTCAGATTTAGCAGCAGCTTTCAGTAAGGAGACGTAAGCTGTGTCTAACTTGAATGATAATATTAAAGCCTGCTTGCAACTGGTGCATTATTTTTGTCACCGCAGTTGTGCATGAGGAGCCTGCCCCGTCAGCTCCTGCTTCATGGGTGGCTGTGTTGTCCCTGGGACATTCACCTGGGCAGTTGTGTCTGTGAGCCTTAGCATGTTGGTGACATTAGGGATCTACATCTCTCTCAGGGCATCATGAATGGTTATAAGAAATTATTTTGTTTACCTTCTGCATAAATCTTAATAGCATGTTATACAGTGTACTTGTTGGTAATGGAGTTTTCATCTAATTTCTGTGCATTTTTCCCCTTTACATGAAGACCTTACCTGTTTGGAGCAGGATGTTTTTCCATAAAAGCTCCATGGTGAGTTCCCAGTTCAAACCCAGCATGCCTATAATTCATCTGCTGTCCTCACTGAAAATAACGCTGTGCTTAGACTTTAATTTTGGATTAATTTTTTTGTTTAATTTGTTGACTTGCATGGCTGATCCATAGGTGGAAGCACTGCATAATTTCACTCTTAAGCTATGGATGTGTGTTCACCATTAAGCATTGTCAAAGCATTCACTTGTTTTTTTCCATTTTTACCTGTGAGGGGGCATTTAATTTTTAAGTAGCAGCAAAGTTGAAAAAATAAATTATTTCCCAGCGAGCAAAAATGATTGCAACAGCTTTCCAACACAAGCCTCTTTTTCTCCTGTATTGCTTTCTTTATTCCTGTATCACTAAGTTGCTTACAGACAGAAAAACATCAATGATGACCTCTCAAAAATAAGCCGGGTGAGCAGTGAGTAGACAGTGAAATATTGCAGTAGGGGGGGTGAAGCAAGTAAAACGGGCACTGTAGAAAATAGCCAAACCAAACAAAGAACAAAACAAACAAAAACACAAAACCAAAAAGCTTATCACACTTGAGAGAAAAACCAACCAGCCAAACCACAGTTCCATTAAAATAATGATATTTGAAATTATGAGGGTGGTTTGTTTTAATATGTAAAATTGCAGCATATTACAAACATGTAGACAGAAATAAAAGCAGATTTTAACAAGTTTCCTTGTGGTGGAGCTTGGTTCAGTGTTCATGCTGTCACCTCCAGTCACCTCTTTATAACGAGATGGGAGTAGGTGCTTGAAGTTCCAGATAACAAGAGTGGAACAATTTTGAACATCTTAAAACTTTCTTAGAAAATTTAGAAACTTTCAGCTAGGAGGTGGGTTTTTTGGGAGGGGGTTGTTTTAATGTTAGTTGGGGATGCTTATTAGTATCTGTTAGAATATTCGTATGTGGCTCTTGTTTCTACTGCTGCCGGTTTGTGCCGCATGTATCACCCCCTTATGTCTCTGTCAAAATGCTATCTTCAGCAGAGGGAACTTCCCAGGAGTTTTGTTAGGATACAGGCGACTTGAGAGCTGGTGAGGGACTCGGGAGTTATAGCAAAGGGAGGAAACACAAAAACACTAAATAGGACACTAGAGGAAAGAAGGTGACATTGCCCCGTTCCTATGGAATATATGATCACTCTGTAAGACTTCCTAAGAACCATTTTAAAATGTAGCTTGTGATGCACCGAAGTATTTCGTGTGATCGTGATCTAAGAACTGAAAAGGCTCTGGAAGGAGAGTTTTGAAAGTGGATTGTCTTAGCAAATGGATGTGTTGGTCAGCCTCTGCATGAAGCAGCAAAGATGCTTGTCAACCAGAAATTATTTTAGATTGAGGCAAGATTAAAAGGCCTAGATTAAAGAGGGGAATATAGGAAATAGACTCAAAAATTGTTGCCTGTCTTTCACAAGACTCTTTTGTGGTTTGTTTAATGCCAGTTCTAGCTCAAAAATATGGTCTTTACTAGCCTACAGTGAAATTAGGATAAAAAACACACTCTGGGTGGGGGAAGAAATCATGTTGTTTCCATTAAGGTCTTAATGAGACCTAAAATTATGTAAACAACATGAATGGAGATTTGACAGCTTGCTGCCTGGCGAGTAGAGGAGCCTACCATTTCTTTTCTTGCTTTTTCTTGTTTTATTCGTAATTTGATGACTGGAAACATGTCTTTGTTTTCTTGTTTTAGGCAGAGTGATAAATCAATTAAAATTACATAGTTTGAGACAGATATGCTTTTTCACTAATTCTATGTGTAATTGCAGATTTCATGCTGTATTTTTCTCGTGATACTTTTGTTGCTGCTTATGTAGCCCAGATAAAGTTTTACCTCAAGAAATGGTATGTTTCCGTTTCAGTGGGGTTAGTTGTGGAGCTGTGGATAAGTGCTTTTGTTTTTATGAATCTGACGTATTTGAAGCCTATTCTTTGGGAATATAAAATCAGTGTAATTCTCAGTCTTTGCAAACTCTCACTATTTTAATTTGTAGAGCAGTTCCCTCATACCATATATGTGCAATTTAGTTATTTTTTTTAGAGTCATGTCACTTATTTGACTATGAACATAAAGACCAATTTAAGAGCCAGCAGCAGTTTGAGACCTAAAGCTCTTTGAGGAACACTCCAGTACTGCACTGTACTCTGATGTTCATATTTGCCTATAGTTTGCAAAATATATCAGTAGTATTGATTGTTATTGATTTTCTTAGATAAAATAGAGTAATTTTGAATTGTTTCAGTAGCTCTTCATCTTTTCTTTTGCCTTGTCAACATGAAAGAACTTGCATGCTATTGCTGAGTCTCTTAACTTTTTAAGATCTGTCAAAGTAATGTCTTACTTTTCTTCTTTAGTTTGCTTCCATCACTTTTTATGCTATTTCAGTACAAAATGCTTATATGTATTTTGCACTGGACATGTATGCATCTGCATCTCAGTGTTTCTACATTTAAAATGGAAATAATCCCCCAAAATTATGTTAGAAAAGTCAATAGCACCAATTTCCCCAAATATTGTGGTATTTAGCTGGAGTTTGGGATTAACTTGACCTTTAGTAGGTGACTTTGTCATTGACTTCAGCTGGTGTAGGTGAATGTCAACTGCTGGTGGCTGAAATCACATGAACGTGATCTTCAGTTGAGGCACAGCTCTTACTAAACTTACAGCAGAACAAGAACTGTGAAAGGGATTTTTTATTACGATTGTACTCCTGGTGTAGGTCCCTGCAGAGATACAACTGGGATAAAAATGCCGCTGTGTCCCATTTAATTCTTGGTGTAGTTACACAGTTTGGTAGACCCAGAGAGGAAAAAGTGCACTGGCTTTTCATCCTCCTTTTATATAATGCTCTTGTTTCTGATGTGGAAGATCAAAATTATGAGAGCTTTGGTTCCATTAGCTTCACTTTCTTGTTTTTAGTGTTGATTCCCAACAACCCTCACTTCTCCCTGCATGGCAGTGCCTCTCAGTAAAAATATGGTATAATCTTTTGAAAGTTAGCATATTGTGAAGATTCTTTTAAATTAACTGTTTTTAAAAGTGAGGCCAAATGTGCCTTAATTTCAGTTCTTGGAATAATTTACGAAGTGCTGACAGGCTAAGAGCAAGTAAAGAGCAGGAGTTCATAGCAGAAACCAGTCATTCACCACCTGCCTTCAACATGATTGTTTTCTTATCATTTATAAAGCTGAAAGGGTGTTTGCATCTACATAATAATGAGGATTTATAGCTTCCAAGTTGTTAAAATATCACAATGACATGAAAATATATTTTTCTAATGGCATTACTGTTCCTGGAAATAACTGGGCTTTTGAGGATTGCTGAAGGAAAGAAATTTGAGTTGGAATGTAATGACGAAAACTCAGGGATAAAGTAAAATGGTGGTAAAATAAAAGATTCCTCAGTTAACAATAGTTTTCAGAATAGACTTGTTGACATCTCAGCAGTTTCTTCAGAACTGTGTCTGAACCAATATGATGCGCTAGTCAGGTTTTTTGTTTGTCTTTATTTTTGAGCAGGACTGAGTTTAACCACATGAGTAATCATGTTTTACAAGGTCTGCTCTTTCTGTCTACAAAACATCCTTCTTGAAGGGAAAATGTTTTGGCACTGAAACCAGCACTTAAATGCATGCCTTGAGAGATGTACATCTTAAAGTCATGGTGTAAATAGAATGTAGCTTAGACCATTTCCTTTAAGGTTGGTCATAGGTCTTGGGACTGTGGGTGTGGAGATCTCTGCAAAAAAAAAGTGGTTTTAGAGTACCAGGTTCCTTGAACTGAAAGGCTTGAAGAAATGGAAGTCAGTTATGGCCCTGTAGAAGTTTACTCCAGTCTGTAGGTGAGAACAGCATTTGCTGCCTTTCTTTTATTTTTTCATTTTAGATTATTTTAATGAATAACCTCAGATTGTATAGAGTAAAACTTGAGAATATTAGGAGTATTAAGATAGTTTGGAAGAATTATCTTTTCAGGAGTTTGTAAGAGGAAGTATATACAGCTGAATCATCTCTCTATCATTGTTTTGTATTGATTGATGTGTAACACTGTCCTTCTGAACAATCTTTTTCTATATTAAAACGGATCATTTATTGATTGAAGTATAGATCAGTAAGTAACAAGTCTCTACTTAGTGGATACATTACATTTTCATTTCTGGAGGAATATTAGTGTGAATACTTGGAAGGTGAGAGCTAAAAACAGTTCTTGATACACAGTTTGTTACAGGTCTGGTTAAAAATACTGCTTCTGTGACAGATAACTCTTTCAAAGAGAAAGAAATCTATTCTGCATTTTTCTGAGTAGCTAATAAATACTTTGTATGTTAATATAGACTATTCCAATATAGATCATAAATTGCCACTCCAAGCAAGGTAATATATTTATACTCGTAACATTTTGGAACACAGATTTCTGACCCAGTAATCTATAGCTGTAGATTCAACAGTTGGATATTAAGTGCTTTGTGGTGGTTCAATATCAGAGCTGCTGACTATAAATTGCAATTGCTCTTTTGTGACGTTCTAGCTTCTCCTGCATGTGTGAGAGCTTCAGGACTGATCTAAGTCCATGAAAGTTTGTCTGAATCTTTCCATTGACTCTAATCAGTGTGATGGAATTCCTTTTGAAAGTTCATTCTGTTTTGTTTTGTTGGGTGGGTGGTTTTTTTCTTCTACATGAAATGTATGACTGTAGGCTTGCTGCATGTGTGATTTATGGCAAACAGCTTAGCCCTTCTGTGCTTTAGTGAGCCCTTGTGTAAAACTGGCACAGTAATACCATACAAGGTGCTGGGAAGCTCAGCTATACTTTGTGTACATCCCTTTCAGAAACCTGGCTGAAAATACAGTATGAGGTAGACAATTAATCTTTTCTCCCATTGTCATACATGCCCTAATTTCTGAAATGCTTCACAGAAAGTATTTGCTGCTTTAGGTGAGTTCAAGTTGAAGGACATTTTAAATGTTCCACATAGCATGACAGTAATGATGGAGGTGATATGTTTTGAACCATATGCCATGTTATTTTCCACATGTCGCTTACTACTTCTTGTTGGAAGGAAATGAAGCGTTTGAGATCAGGGCAAGTTTTCCCATTTATTTCAGTGAGATCGGTTCTGAGCTGTGAGGAACCAGGGACCAAGACATGGGTGTTTGTATGGAGCAGGAGCTTCAGAGAAGCCCAGCTTGTAGAATAATTTTGGTTTACCTTACTTTTCTCATGTTATTTTTACATTATATTGATTCATAATCTGTCTTTGCTTTAATACCCCTATTGGTTCATTCTGTGGAACCACTTCACCTGTATACAACTAATTTGTCGCTGAAAAAAAAGGGTGGTATGAATCAAGTGCCATTCTAGTCATGCTCAGTGTTTGAGTTGCTTTCTCCTGTTTTAAAATATTCTTATGGTGCTTAATTCCATCATGATACTTGCAATAATTTGTTTGCATGTACATATATGCACACACACACATCTCAGAATTGAAGATCAATACTTAAAAATGACCCAGTCAATATGATAGTGTAATCACAGCCTTGATATAATGTGGAACAAGAAATTAATAGAAGAAGAAAGGAAAGGAAGGAGAGGTGTCAAGACAAGGGAGCAGTGAAATAGAATAGGGAGAGAAATATCATAAAGTCCAGTTTAAAAGACAGGGAAAAAATAGAACGTGGAGAAGGAGGAATCCTGCATGAACTTCTCAGACAGCTTTTCTCTTAAGGGAAGGGTAAAAATCTGGTTTAATGAATTGAGGAAATGGGCAAATTTTGAGTTTATAGAAAGCAGAATGTTGCGTATCTTCAGCTTCCTGTAGGGAGGAACACTAAATGATGTTTCAATAAAACATAATTATAAACCACTGGATCTGCTACATGCACATTGTGGTGTTTCAGAGGAGAATGTATCTTAATCTCTTTTTACATGATACAGTTACTGATTTAACATGTAGCTCATGAGCGTATGCATTGTTCCCCTTTCCTCATATCCTCCGCATGTTGTTCCCTCTTACCCTCTTGCCCATGTCATATATATCTGAGTAGTTTCAATGTGCAGATATACAGATCAGCAGTCAATGTTAACATTAGTTAGAGGGTTCTTTTGAAAATGCCAGAAAATACCAACCACCTAGAAAGACTGACCCAGAATCTATATTTTAGTTCCCAAAGGACTTACAATTATAAATGTTTGTATTCACTTCAGAAGTTTCTATTGAATGCAGGTATTCAATATTGGGTCTTTTAAACAGCCCAACTAATTCTCCATTATGAGCCAGTGCTGTCCTTCAAGTTAATGAGTTCAGTGATCAAGGGGAATTTAGGACCTATTATTGAGAGCCACTAAGCCTCTGTAAATTCTGCTAAATCTTATGGGAACTGCAGATATTCACCATTTCTGAATTAATATCTTAGAATGACTATTAAGCAAGGGACATCTTGATTTTTGGGAAAATAACTTCCATAATTTTTTATTATTTCTTTAAGCAAATCCAAACCAGCTCCACAGATTTCACCCAGTAAGTCTGTGGGAGGCGAGTTTTGCGTCGCTGCAGTCTTTGGATCATCAAGGTCATGGTTTGCAAACAATCCTGGTCTGAAAAGAGAAAAAGGTTGGTATATTCCAAAAATGAGATTTGTATTTAAATTGAAATGAATTTATTTTCTCATTTTGTGAGCAGATGGTGCTTATCTGTAGATTTTGATCCTGAAACAGTGACAGTGGACATTTTGGGGGGGCATGGTTGGGGTGCTTTTGGTAAATAGGAACAAAATTTGCAAGAAAGTTTGATAAGTGAAATCAATCACTGATTTTTTTTTATTATGATGCAATGACAGAAAACAAACTTTGGTTTGACTTCACACAGTCAAAAATACTGTGTGAAGTGTTACTGTGAGGTAAAGGACCTTTGCTAAAGCAAAGACATATGTTTGGCAGCGTGTTGTCACCTGGACTCACCTTGGTGTGAAACTCTTGTTCCCCCTCCTCTTAGATCAGATAATCATATTTTTTTGAAACAAAGGGAAAATTTTGTGCTTGGTGCCATTTTCTCTTTGTCTTTCCAGCCCTCTCACTTCTTTTGATTGGTGGTTTTGACTGCAAGCATATAAAGCAAGAGATTTAAAAGAATAGTCTACTGTTCCTGTAAACATTTTTGCTGTTTCTGCTGTGCTATTGCAGTAAGATTTTCTTTCTTCTTGCAAACAGATCAATCAAAACAATTTGTAGTGGAGTCGTTGTATATCATCAGTTGTTATGGCAGCCTGGTGGAGCATGTTTTGGAACCACGTCCACTCAGCACTGCTCCGAAGATCAGTGATGATACACCTTTGGAAATGGTGACATGCCCAAGAGCCAGCTGGACTTTGGTTAGGTAGCTCATTCTTTTTACTGTTTCTTCCTCTTTTTGTCCAGGAAATGGTTGTGATCTTTTTTTTCTGGAAGGGATGAATGTTCATTCATGTATCATGAGGCTGGTGAGTGACTGGAACAGGTTGTCCAAAGAAGTGGTGAATGCTTCATCCCTGGCAGTGTCCAAGGCCAGGCTGGACAGAGACTTGGGCAATATGGTCTAGGGTAAGGCATCCCTGCCTATGGTAGAAGGGTTGGAACTAGGTGATCTTAAGGCTCTTTCCAACCCAAACCATTCTATGAGTTTCACCCCTATTTTTATCTTAAAGTTTATCTTAAAGACTCTTAAGGGTTTCCGTTGGAGGAAGGGGCTCTCAATATTCAAACCTACCTTTTCCTATAGCTGTGTTAGTGCTTACGTGTCTGAAGGGGAGCTAAGCATTTAAATAATTCTGTAGACACAGAGGTACATGAATGTGTTTACAGATCAATAGAGATCCTTATCAATTGGTGATTTTAAATGATCAGATTGTAATCTAGTTTTTTACAGAAGGACTAGAAACAATTATTTTAATGGTGTTAAAGAACAAAATTCTGCCGTGAGTCATGAGTGAGGTTTCCACAGTGAAGCATTGCAAAGAATTAGGCAAGTTATCCTGTAAGTAGCTGAAGGTAGCATTTCTCAGTTGAAGAAATTATTCCTGACACGCAGAAGAAAGTAAACAAAAATTGATGAGAAAGTGTTGTCAGTGCTTTTGACGTTTTAAAATATTTCCCTATCGATTTTTCTTGGCTCCTATATTCCTTAGTGCTGCTTATGGCTGGACTAGGTTGATCAATACTTGATTTACCAAGCTATTTAGGAATAGCCCACCCTAATTAAAATTACAACACAGACTTCTAGACCATTATTGTTGAAATGAGTAGGTTGTAATGGAATTGAAAATTCTAATTGGATCAATAGTCCATAACTTTACACAGCTTTATTTTCACAGTTTGTGAATGCTCAATGACTTTACAGTATCGAAGTAGTGCTAGTTAAAAGAACAAAAAAGGTCCCCAGTTTCTGTTGTGTGTTTATATAACGTCAGCATGACATACAAGGGTCCTAAACATGTTTACCAACTTAATCTAAACCACCTTCATCGTGAGCAATCCATGTTGCAGTCAACAAACAAGTATTGTCTTTGCCTCACAATCTGTGCTATTTCGTCCTGCTGCTCAAGTGCTTGTGGTGTATTGCAGTGTTTGAACAAGCTAATTTAAATAATTACAAACATTTTGTGAGCTTGTATAGATAATTACATGTGATGACAGAAACACTGATTTACATTCTCTGTATTAGCTAAAATATTAATAGTCTTGTGTTTTACCTCAGAACTCCTCAGTGGAATGAGCTCCAACCACCATTTAATGCAAACCATCCACTGCTCCTGGCTGCAGATGCTGTGCAGTACTACCAGTATCTTCTTGCTGGCTGTAAGTAGCTGACAACTTTTTGTCTTGTCTTATGTGCACATTTTAAGCTGAGTGTGACTTAGTTTTTCAGCCTGCATTTATTTCAGAATACATTTAACCCCAGAATAGCGCTGACGTAACTATATTAGTAATGGTAGTGAATATAAGTATTTTTTTGATATGAATCAAAGTTGTGAGCCTGTCATATACCCAAAATGTGAGTGTTTTGCTGGCTTTGAAAGTGTGACTCAAAAGATCCCCTGAAGTCTTTAGGGTTTCTTCACCTCATTTCTTCTCATGCTTTTAGCCATTTCCTCAGTACTCAGTGACAAGCCAGTGCATCTGCATTTTCCCTCTCCCTTGGAACTCCTTATTGCTGGGCTACTTCCAGCCAGAGTCTGAGACAGCTGCTTCCCTCGGGAGCCTTGGCATTGCTTCCAGGTTTGGCTGCCCACCTGCCTAGTCCTCTGTCTTATCCAGCCACATCGTTTGCAAGGAGCCAATGTGCATGGCATTGCATATTCAGAAACATTTATATATCTATAGATACATGGTATATGTATATTATATAAACCCATGTATTTTATATTGGTTTTATAGATCAGTATTTATGTTACTTTTTTAATTTGACCATTCAGAAAAGAGAATAATATTAACAGTAACAATTCTCTATCTAGGATGTAGTCAAGATCAAAATGATACAGCAGTTGAAGTTTCACAAGGGAACACCTCTTGGCATATGTAAAGGTACTCATGGGGAAACTAGATCCTCTGCACAGTTGTCTGTGCAGCCAACGCCAGCACATGATGTGACACAGGCATTTTAAAATGCAGAAAGTGGACATCTGGCCAAAAGGCAGTTTGAACATGACTGGTAAAAGTGACACTGGCGCCAGATTAGATCTGTTGCTTCTACCTTTCCATCTGTTGCATGTGCTTCAAGCTCAAAATGTTGTGGGAACCCACAAGGTTGTTGTCTTCCTTGTTCCATGCTGCATAGAAAAAGGAAGAAAACTCTAAAGGTGGAAAAGAGTATGGAAAAGGTGGTTAGTAGTGCACAACACTGTGTTAGATGTGCCTTTGGGCTAGAATTTTTTCCTAGATCCCTGTGTTGTTTTACTTTGACATATAGTATGAGAGTTCTGCTTTGAGATAAAAGGTCATTGCAAGGAGGTATTTTGGTTGTATGATAGTTTTTGATACAAATATGGATCTCAAATTTCAAATTACTGTGTCTAAAATTAGATGTGCGAGCCTATACTTCCATTTTGAAATAAGTATTTTGAATTATTAAGTCCAATCAGGTCAACAAATATATTTGTATTTTGTATCAAAACCGTTAATAGACACTGTTAACTACAGAGCATAGGTCTAGTTTTGTATTGTAGTTTAACGTGGCTGCTGCCAGAGTCTGTTTATGCTGCTGATAACTCATTTTGGTATCAGTATTTTTATCCATTGCTTACAAACCATTGTTGCTACTGCTACTGAGTAGTCTTGAAACAGTCTCCAAAAGCAGCTTTAGTTCACGGACACTACCTGTGTTTGTGGATCCTTGCAGCTTTGCTGTTTGGGCCAGATTTATTCCCCCTCCTCCCCTCCTCAGATTCCCTCCTCTAGTTTCAAGATGTCATTATCATCCGTACTGGTTTCAGCTATTTCTCCTGCATGCTATCAAACGTGCAAATATATAAATTATTGTATGGAGCATGTAGTTCTTGCAGGATGAGTCCAAGAGCACAGAATGCTCTCTGGAGAATTCTGGACATTTTGTAGAAGTAGTTTGTCTGCCTTTTAATTTCTGTTGAAATGAAAAACAATGTAATGCAATGATATGGTCTGAACAAAAACCTTCTTTGAATAGAAAAGCTTATATACACAGATCGCATTTATTCCACAGTCTGAAACCAGGGATGGATGTGGTTCACTGTGTTTCATTAATGTCTCAAGTACGATGCATGTCAAATGGTTTGGTATTGAAAACTGTTTAAAGGAAAAAGAATGAGTTGTAGCTGAATTGCAGGAAAATAATGAATTTGAATTACTTGAATTACAGCAAAGACTTTTAAAATCAGGGGTTTTTTTCACAACTTTTTAGTTTTTAGGAACTTTTTAAGATGAGTGTGAAATGTAAATGAAAATAGAATAATAACCACTACAGACAAAAAAGTATCTATAGAACATAGTACAGCTGGCATTAATGGAACAATTTGTGTATATCTGATATTCTTTGACGTTTTATTTGTCTTCTGGATTTATTCTATCTGGAGCTTCTCAATGAAGTTTTGGAAAAAAATGGAGTCAGAGCAGGATTCCCACAAAACAGTTCAAGACACCTGTTGGCTTCCCCTATTAAATACACGCTAAACTGAAGTTATCTGTCTCTCCTTACCTGCAGTAATGTAATGGGCTGACATTAGCTGAAGCCTGTGGTTTGATGTGCTATCACTTCCGTCAGTAAGTTTAATTGCCAGCAAATGGCTAAATAGAGGTTTAGGGTGAATGTTACATCTGTCTGCCACGTTAGTGGTAAGAGGAATTCTGGCGCCGTTTCAGGGTCACTATTTGTATCTGTCTATCAGAGGTAGAATACAGCAGTTTCTCTCAGTTTCTGTATAGCATTTCTGCCAATTGTTTGGCTCCATTAAGTGTGCAGGGGAAATAAAAGCCTGAATGACCAAGTCACAAGGGGGTATGGATAGACCCTTTCTTTGTCCACACTCAGAACATTGCATTAGGTCTCATTATCCATTTATAATAAGTGACCTTTGCCCCCTGGGTCATTGAAAAATACTCAGTGTGCTTTTTAGCACAGAGTACCTCTGTCAGCAGACGGACAGAACAATGAAACGTCTGGCGGTCTGGTTGGAGGGCTGTGCTCTGCAGGTCTGCAGAAGGATACAGTTCGATGCCAAAACACAGCACCAAAATCTTCCTTAGTCTCTGAAAAGCATAAAGTAGGCCAGTGAGTTCTTGTGATAAAGAGAATATTCTAAAAAAGCTGTATTTAGTTGTTTACACAGAGTTCAGCTTCCAATATTTTTAAAGAATCTGAAAGTTATACCCACAGCTAATAAGGAAGTAACAAGGAACCATTGTTTGAAGAAATATATAGTACAACAAGTGTCCAAGACCTTTATCCCAAGGGTATTTGTAAGTGGATTAGCACAGCTGTTTCATTGCTTTGAGGTCATCTGTGACATCTGCTGCAGAAACCTGGATCAGAGTGCACAGTTCGTATCTACCTGAGCGCTTTATCACAGCTGTGGCTCACTGCAGAGAGGTGAAGAAGTGGATAGCAAGAGATTTGGACCTTTCTGTAAGTTGGTGGCTCAAAAGTGAACTTGCATGTTAAATTCCACAGCCTGCTGGCCTGCCGGAAGTGTGGGTATCCTGCTCCTGACTGCTTCAGGCTTTATGCAGTTTGAGAGTGAAAATAACCAGTCTGGAGAATCTCCTCACCTTCTAACAGAGCAGATTTCAGACTTACCGTTCTTGTCATAAGAGTTCATCCTGCAGAGCCCAGGAGGTACTGCAGGCCTCAAGTCCTTTGTGCTGGGTTAGATGTTTCTCTCTGAGCCTTCTCAGATTTAATACATAGTATTTTACCTTATTTGTGTCTCTAGTATTCCCTCTTTATTTCCTTTGTTCTGAGTAGCTGCTAAATCTAATCACAACAGAGGAGGGAAATTTAAGTCACATTTTATCTGTCCTAGATGTTTTCCTTACCTCGTAAGTATCATCACCACAGGACGGTCATAGCAGACCTTACAGAGGAGGAGAGTTGTGCAAGGCACTGTGTGCATACCTAGAAGGGTTTCTGGTGTCCACAGGAACTTGTCTTTAAAGGATGTGCCTTTCTTCAGAGAATTGCCAAGTTTCATTATTACTTATTCTTTAAATAGTACTTGCTTCCTGCTGTTTAGTACTTAGGAATTAAGATGCTTCTGGTAGTATAAACTCTCGAGGCATCCTGTTAAGGTATACTTTCCTTGTCCCTGATAATCTGCTGTTTGTGTTCAGGTTTTTTCTCTAATGAATACTTTTCTATTGCCATGACCTGAATTCTTCCATATTTGATTGACTTAACCTGTGTTGCCTTTGTCTAACTTCTGTGACTTCTATTTTAGCACATTTGAATTCATTTCAGACACGTGCATGGCACATAATGGAATTGTAATGAAAATAGGTAAATTTGCATAACAACAAAAAAATCATACGTCCTCATTTCATGCTTCTTATTTCCTTTCTTCCTCACCCCTCCTCTTTGAATTCACTTTTTCATTGCACTGGAGGAAGGGACTGTAGTTGAAATATCTGAAATATGGACAATTAATGCATTAATGAAAAAAAACCAAACCAACCCAAACCCAACCTTGAAATCAGATCAAAAACTGACCAGAAAAAGCATTGAATGAGATGATTTCTCTCCTCTGGCTCTGGCAAGGGCACCTTCACATTCCAGGCAAAAAGTTTTGGCTCATCAGGACCAATTTTATGGAGATGACCTGCAGTTGTCAGAAGCAGGCCAATGACAAGAATTAATATATTAACTGGTATGCAGTACTCTGACAAATTGCTTACTAAATACATCAAAATTGATTGGACGTTCTGTGTTTAAATTGACAAATGACTGCATTAGGGGAAGGAGGGAAATCCATTAATTACAGCTGCCCTCAACCATAGGAAATGTAATCGTATAAATATAGATTTTGTTAAAACAAAAGTCTCTACTTTACTACAGTGTTGCTGGTAAGTGTACTTGCACCTCCTTGCTATTTAAACCTCCAATAGGAGGTATTGAAGACAGATCTTTGCAATTGGCTTTTAAATAATCAAAGAGCATTTCTGTTGTGCTAAAAGGAATGATGCAGTGTGTCTTTATCCCACTCTGACCGCTTCTGGAAATGGTTTCTCTCTCAGAAAAACGGACATGTAACTGAGGCTTCTGTTGTCTCATTAATTGTTTATTCTAAATGCAATGTAACTCATATTCCATGATGTTAGGATTCAAACCAGCA